TCATATAGTGTATATTTTTATAACATATTTTCCGTGCATCACACGGGACAAATACTAGTAATAATAATAAGTCCCACCCAACTCCCTAATATACTGCAGTACTCCACGTCTAAAATGCACAGTTATATTGCAAACCAAACTCATTAATAATAATAATAATAATAATAATAATAATAATAATAATAATAATAATAATAATAATAATAATAATAATAATAATAATAAGTGAAATGTCATTTTTACCCTCATATTTAACATCCCTAACACTTATTTAACGGAGAGGGGAGAAAACAGCCACTTCAAAAACAATTGAGAGGGATAAAGTGGTTACATAAACAACACATGGAGAAAAAGTGCTATTAGTAAACAATACAGGGGAAAAAGTGTCATTTTCCCTATTATTTTTGTATATTTTCTTATGGATTTATTATTATATGCATTTTTTTAATTGGATTTATTATTATAGTTATAGGTATTATTTTTAGGATTTAAAATTTTAGTTTAAAAAAGCTCGGTTAATGGGTTAACCGACCGATTAACCGAAAAAACTTCGGTTCGGTTAATTCGGTAATACAAAGTTCGGTTTGGTTAACGGTTAAATTTTTAAAAATTTCGGTTAAAATGGTTCGGTTAACCGAGCGGTAAACCGATTGAACACTGCTACCGGTAAATACCATACAATTAAATAGCTCATCATCACTTTATCTCCGTTAAACATACTTTCTCAAACTATTTGTTCTGGAATACTTAATTTGTTCCTTTCTTCGCGGTCAATGTCATAGTGGATGGATACGTTGATGGCTCGTTATCATATCTGGCTTCATTTATCAAGACTCTGGATGAGTGTTATGTTGTAGTCACGCTCCGGATCAGTATTCCGTTATAGTCGCGCTCCGAATGAAAAACCAGTATTACGGGGCGGCGAGCAACAAACGACAATAATTAAGGTGCTTTCTTGGGATGATGAAAATATAAATGGCGATAAAATTTTGTGGAAATTTGAAAAACTATACAAAAAAAAAAAAAAAAAAAAAAAAAAACCTCATTTAGATTATGATTTTCTCTTAAACTTTTTAAGGAATTTTCATGAGAAGCCTAAATAACACAGTAATATGCCATTTGTTTATTTAATTAATGACTATTAATTACTAAATAATTATTATTATTATTTATTAAAGAGTTAATTTCAGCAATGGTCCTTCGACTATTGAAATTTTTTAAAATTAGTCCTCGATTTTTAATTTGGACGAAAAAGACACTTAACTTTCTAAACTGTTCCACCAAAGGTCCTTCTGTTAAGTTATGGTTTGTTGACCGTGTGTAATGTGTAATTATGTCTTTTCATTATATTGTGTCTATTAAGTGGAGGGTACAAGGGTAAATCGCTTGATCTTCTACTTCATCAGTCTGAAACGAAGTATTTATAAAACAATAAATAGTGATCGAAATAGATTATTCATGCAGAGGTATGTCTAGTTGTCATCCAGACATTAAATGCAGCTTAATTGAAAAAACATACACTGTTGAACACCAATGTAAACACAAGGATCTGGCCATCTGGAGATATATGACTCATATATCTCTCAATCCATGGTGAGATCTAACACTAAAATAATAGAAATCCCATCACCACTTTGCATCAATGAAACTCTCCATTCTTCTCTTTCATTGCAAATGCACCCAAAAAGAGACGCAAAATCCAGTGTGTTTTGACAAGGTCAAGAACCAGTCCAACATTTAAAACCCATACGTAAAACCAGATCAACTATAGAGTACTGTATGCTATACTATCGCAACATTGCAATGAGAAAAGGCATCCAAACACAAAACACAATCATACCAGAAAAATAACAGCATTTTCAAAGGAAACTGAGGAAATGGATCTTACTTTGAGTATTAGCAGAGGCGGAGGTGAAGAAAATACAGAGAAGAAGAAACCATTCAAGAAACGCCATTGTCGGGAGGTTAGAGAGAGACGGGAAAAGTGAGTAAGCTGTGGAGCATCGCAGAGCAGAGAGTATATGAAGTACATATATATTTCCAAGCTTAAGCTACACATTACTTAAAATTCTATATTAAGCTATGAATTCAATGAAAAAAAAAAAAGAAGAAGTTAAGCATGTGGAGATGGTTCAACCTATAGAAGGTAGTAACCTCGAGCTGGCCTGGGTGGATTTCACAGGGCAAATGAGATGTAAAGCATGTATATATCCACAATACCAGATCCAAAGCTAGGCTAAGAGGAAAATGAGGAACATTTGCTTGAGTCGTTCTGGAGTTCTTCGCTGCTTTCTTCGTACGGGAGGAAAGGAGCCATGGCTGCTAGGCTAAGAGGAAGAAGAAAGCAATAGAATGAAAAGACACAATTGTCCCTACACTAACAGCCAAGAAACGGTGTTTTAACTGAAGGGCCTTTGGTGGAACACTTTAGAAAGTCAAGTGTCTTTTTCGTCCAAGTTAAAAGTCAAGGACTGATTTTGAAAAATCGTAATAGTCAGAGGACCATTGCTGGAATTAACTCATATCAAAAATTACATCATTTTCAGTGGGTGGATCGGAAAAATAAAAACAATTTTATTCCAAAAAGGTTTAGCTTTATTGGAGTAGATGATGATGATGATGATGATGATCTATACTATATATAAAAATAAAATCCTGAACTTTTAACTTCCCGCCCAATTCCTAAAAAATCTCTCATCCTAATAAAATATATTGATTTCTACTTTCTCATTTGTACAATAATTCTGGGTTAAAATTATATTATAATATTATAAAATAGTGTAATACAATTCCTATTGTAATATATACTATATATAAAACAAAATCCGGAACTTTTAACTCCCGCCCAATTCCTAAAATATCTCTCTTCCTAATAAAATATATTGATTTCTACTTTCCCATTCGTACAATAATTATGGGTTAAAATTTTATTATAATATTATAAAATAGTGTAATACAATTCCTGTTGTAATCTATACTTACTATATATAAAAACAAAATCCTGAAATTTAATGCATTAAGTTTTGATTTTCTCAAAAAAAAAAAAAAACAAAAACAAAAACAAACAAAAACAAAAAACAAAAAAAAAACAAAAACAAAAAAAAACAAAAACAAAAACAAAAAAAACAAAAACAAAAAAAACAAAATTCTGAAATTTTAACTTTTCGCCGAATTCTTAAAAAATCTCTCTTCCTAATAAAATATATTGATTTCTACCTACTTTCTCATTCGTACAATAATTCTGGGTTAAAATTCTATTCTAATATTATAAAATAGTGTAATACAATTCCTATTGTCATCTATCTATACTATATATACTTCTATACTATATATAAAAACAAAATTCTGAAATTAACTTCCGGCCCAATTCCTAAATAATCTCTCTTCCTAATAAAATATATTGATTTCTACCGTAATTCTGAGTTAAAATTCTATTCTAATATTATAAAATTGTGTAATACTATTTCTATTCTAATCTATATCTATCCTATATATCAGTGTTGCAAAAATCACGCCGCTGGCCGCGGCGAGGAAGGCCGGAATCAGCCTCCTCCGCAGTCGCCTTGCCGGCTGAACCGGCGATTAATTTTATTTTATTTTTTTATTTTTATTTTTATTTTTTTTAGTTATAAAGTATCAAAAGTTCGGCAAGGCATAACTTTTGAATCGGTTTTCCATTTTGGACAAATGTTTTTTTGAAATCGCGTATTTTTTCCAGATCTATCCATCGCAAATAGCCGTAGGCGGTTTGGCCCACCAATTTTTTAAAAAAATGCTTTATTAAATAGTTTCTAAAAAAACTATGAGAACCTTATGTTTTATTAATGAATTTTTAAAATTTTTAATTAAAAAACTGTCCCGTGCATTATTTATTAATCTCTCTTTATAATTGGTCAAATTATTTAATTATGGTCAATTAGGGAATAATTAATGATTGTAATAGAAATCCTATTATTATGTCTCACGGTCATTATATACTAACAGAACTTGAAAAGAAACTAATAATAATATAATATAATAATAATAATATAAGTGGTAATAATAATATCTAAAAGTAATTAAGTGTTAATAATAATAGTAAGAATATTAACGTAAGAATTATAACATAGAATAAATTGTGCCTCACGGCCTTTATATAACAAGAATATTTAATTATGATTATATTATTATTGTGCCTCACGGCCATTATATACTAACAGAACTTGAAAAGAAACTAATAATAATAATAATAATAATAATAATAATAATAATAATAAGTGGTAATAATAATATCTAAAAGTAATTAAGTGTTAAATAAAATAGTAAGAATATTAACGTAAGAATTATAACATAGAATAAATTGTAATAATTAATAACTATAGTCTAGGATAAAATTTGAAATTGTCAGGAAAGATAAGCGATCTTAAAGTGAAATGAACTCTTAAATAATTATATATCAATTTAAATATTCTTAATATATTACAACAATTTCATTCCGTACATCGCAGGGATAAAAATACTAGTAATGATAATAATAATAATAATAATAATAATAATAATAATAATAATTACATGTGATTAACAAAGAGTAAATAATTTATTTATCAAATATAATTTTACAATTAACTACTGTCTCTGTCCCATTTTATATATACTACTTATTATTCATTGTTCAAATCAACTCTTTCTTTTTTGTTTATTTTCTTTAATATTTTTACTCATTTTTAAATTTTAGATTTGATTTTTTGTGTTTAATAGTATTTTTGGTGTAATTTCTAAATATATAAATTTTGTATACTAATTCTAAAGTTAATATTATAAAAATTAAATTAAAAATAATTTCAATTAACCCTCATTAATCGAACCACACATAAAATAAGACAGAGGGGTAATATTATTAATCTAATCAAAGTAACTCAATCACTTGTAAACAATCAACTATATGCTCAGCTTAACTGTGAAATGTGACTTTGTTTTTGTACGTTATTGCGTTTTATGAGCTTGTGTAGTTGCAGCCATTCCTTCTTCAATTGTCATTATCTACTAGTTTATTTGTGGCATGGAACATTTCTCTTTCTCTCTCTCATAGTCACACAATCTTAAAACCTCTATCCCTGAAAAATAGCCCATCACCAAATAAATGGCCACCGCCGCGCCCAAACTCGCCACCGGCATTCTACCCATCCCTGCCCAGCCCCACCGCCGTAAACCATTAGCCCCCCTACATCCCCTCGCCGGCACCGCTACTAGTGTACAACCCTCAGCCTTCAAAATCTCCGTCAGCACTGTTACTGGGGTTTCACGTCGCCGGAGAGGGTTCACTTGCCAGGCCGCAGAGGTGTCGGTGGCGGAGGGGCCGTCGGCGTCGGGAGGTGGGAACTGGGTGCCGGTTGTGCCCCTGGGGGCGCTGCCGAAAGGAGAGCGGCGCGTGATCATCCAAAACGGGGAGACCATACTGCTGCTTTGGTATAAAGATGACATCTTTGCCATCGAGAACCGATCCCCTGCTGAAGGCGCGTACAGTGAAGGCCTCCTCAATGCCAAGCTCACCCAGGTCACCCATTTCCTATTTGTTTTTTATCTGATACCAATTGTTCTCATATTTATTCAATCCAAGAAAATATGTACTTCTTAGGTTTGAAGGGATTTATAGAATGTAAAAGAGTTTGTCCCCCCATAGTTTATCCTAATGTAGCAACACTAATATGCACGGAATTGCAATTTAGAGCATAGGCACTGAACATATGAGGATATTCATTCCTAGAGTTAATACCAGGGTCCTTCGAGTATAGTGACACTGCCACGTGTAGTCTTAAATTTTCAATTTAACTACACTTGGTCCTTCAAGTTTCAAATTTAATCAATCGTGGTTGTGGTCCTTCCCCTAGTTTACGTTAGAGCAGCAAAGTTAGGACCATGGTTGATTAAAAAATTGAAAATTGAAGGACCATGAGTGGTTAACTTGAAAGTTGAAGGACCGTGAGTGGTTAACTTGAAAGTTGAAGGAACATGGGCCGTTAAATTTGAAAGTTGAAAAAGCATGAGTGGTTAAATTGAAAGTTGAAAGACCAGAGGTGGGTAAATTGAAAGTTTAGGAGGAGGACCCCGGCTGATATTAACTCTTCATTCTTGAGCATGTGTTGGAACAAACAAGTATATAATATATATAGTAATTGTGGACTTGTGGGGGTTTATTTGTTTAGCAATTGTCTTATAGTTGTCAGAGATGTTGTGAGCTTAGGATTTCACTCGCCCAATCTGTTGGGCAGAGGCCGATAAATGTCCAAGTCCAGCAATTGGTGACTATGGATTGTTGGGCAGAGGCTGGCGAAGGGTCGAGTTCAGTGTCCTGCCTCTCGAAAATGTGACGTATATAAGGAAAAATAAAGTTGTGCCTTCGCTGCGCTTTTAGTAGAATGGTAAGCGGTTCGAGTCCCAGCAAGATCGCCAAGGCGGTATATGTTGTTTGATGCCCTTGGGGGATCATAACTAATGTGGCTAGAAATGTTGTCGGATTCCTCTAAACTAAAAGCATTGTTCATATTACTAAACATAGTTGTTTTTGTACATGAGATGTTATTCCAATCATGCTTGACCGTTTAACGTATCAAGTTCTGCACGTAAGCTCGTAATATTGTTCATGCAGCATACTCTGGTGTATCGTATTTGCTCTTTCTACAATGTTCCATTTGATATGATTCGGTTTTGTGCAGGATGGTTGTATCGTTTGCCCAACAACTGATAGCACATTTGACTTGCGAACCGGAGAAATAAAAGAATGGTACCCAAAGAATCCAGTCCTGAGAGTTCTGACTCCTGCATTGAGATCCCTATTTACTTACCCCGTTAAGACGGACAGCGAAAACATTTACATCAGCATGAGCGGGGGACTGAAGGATGCATCTGCTGAGATTGTATTCAGCGGGAAGGCTCAACCTGGTGTAACAGCAACCAATGTCAACGTGGATGAGGTAACCACAAAACTTAAAATTAACACCGAGTTCTTGTTTTTGTTCTTCTCACTTGACCAAATCTATTCTCGGGACTCAAAACTAGACCCCCTTGTGCATGCTTTAGGTGAGGATGGTGGTTGATGAGAGCCAAGAGGCCTTTGGTTTCACGGGAAAGAATGAGTTGATAAATGGAAAAGCTGCTGTGATTGGGTTCCTATTGCTGTTAGATTTCGAACTTCTGACTGGTAAAGGTCTCCTCAAAGGAACAGGATTCTTGGACTTCATTTACTCTGTTTCCAATGCTTTCAAATGAATTCCAATGTAATTTATGAACACTTCTTTGATCAACATATAGGCAGTATATTTGTTGGGAGTAGTTTAACTTCCTATAATAGCTGGAAAAATAATTAAAAAAAAAATAGAAAACAATGATTTTGTATATGTAGGTAAATTCTACTGATTGTGAAATTCTTCTAGCCCAGAGGAAAAACAGCCACTTGCAGTTTCCAATTGAACAGGGTAGAAATGTTTGTGGGTGTTATTGTAGTATATAATTTTGTTTAATTTGGTCTTTGTACTTTAGTTTTGTGGGTTGAAGTACATGGATTAAATTGAGCAAAATTAAGGTTTATGTCCCAGTATTTTGGCACCAATGTTTTTGTTATTCTTGTATTATAGCAGATTTATATTCTTGAATTCTATCATCTGGTCTTCAATTCACCAAGACATCCTGAAAGTGAATCCTATGATCTGGTCCTAAAAACACAGGTAATTCTTGTTTTAAAATTCCATTTGGAATCATTTCAAAGTCTCTTTGTGTTGGGCGGAGACTGTTAAAAGGCCAAGTGTATTACTTGGTGTTTAGGTTGGATTGAGACGGTCAAATTTAAGACCTGCCTCTCAAAAATATAATAGTAGTTTATAAAAAAAATAAAGTTACGTCTTCGCTACTAACTTTTGACAAGTCTAGTAATTGGTAGCTAATGAAATTGTTGAGGAGATGAAAGATTAAGTTCAACACTATGCCTCTCGAAAATGAATTAGTAGAATATCAAGTTTAACACCTTACCTCTCGAAAAGGTAGACTTATAGCTTTTGGCCTCTGTCTTCGGATATTTGTTGCTGTCAGCATTGACATATATCTATATATATATATATATATATATAAAGATAGTTTTTAGGTTTTGTCTCACAGTAGTAGAATGTATGGTTAACCTTACAAAAAGACAATTTTATTGGTTTTGGAAATGACAACTAAACTGTACTGAAACATGGCATTTGGGTGGCGTTACACGTGTAATAAAAGAAGCTAGTATAGGAAGACAGGGAGTATGATTCATCTCCATGATCAAAGCCAATAAAGTGCCACATCTAAACATAACAAGAAGGGAAAATGGCACTTTTTCCCCCTATGTTATATACTTATAGCACTTTTTCCCCCTCAATTATTTATGTAAGCACATTAGCCCCCTCAATTATTTTAAAAGTGGTGGTTTTTCCTCCCTGATTTTATATTAAATTGACATTTCTACCCTTAAAGTAAACATTTTATTTATTTTATTTCTCCAACAAATTATTGTGTATATGTAGCAATGACCACGGTTCAGTTCGAACTGAACCGGACACTATAGCAATCGAATTAAAAGTTTCCGGTTATGATTCAGATCTAGAATCCAATATTTAGATTTCAATTTATTAAATTTATGAACCAAAAAAACTGGATCATGAACCGTGAACCGGCAGTTCCGGATCCGGTTCGTGATTTTGAACCGTCTTTATTTTAAATTTTATTTTATCTTTTATTTTAAAATAGTCTAAATTCAACAATAAATGTATTTTATTTTTCAGTTTGGAACATGAACCGGCCATTTCGATTTGCGATTTTAATAAACTCTAAATATCGCGTTTTGATTCTAAATTGTAATTGGAATATTTTGGTTTGGTTGCTATAATATCTGTTTGGTTTGAACCAAATTATAGTAATAATTTGTTGGAGAAGAAAAATAAATGAAATATTTATTTTAAATATTTATTTTAAGGGTAAATATGTCCATTTAACATTTTAGGGGGGAAAAGAGTCACTTAAATAATTCAGGGGGAAAAAGTGCTATAAGTATATAACTCAGGGAGAAAAAGTGCCATTTTCCCTAACAAGAATGAATGAACCCTCCATTTATATCCTTTTTTTTTTTGTTAAATTTTTTTTTTTACATTATGTTATAAAAGTTGTACTTTACAATATTAAATTTTTTTTATATGTTATATTATTAAAGTTGTACTTTACAATATTTTGAATAAGCATACCCTTATCGTTATAATTTCCGTTATCTTTTCCACTATTGTTAAGTTGTACTTTACAATATTAAATTTTTTTATACATTATGTTATAAAAATTGTACTTTACAATATTTTAGATAAGCATATCCTTATCGTTATAATTTCCGTTATCTTTTCCACTATTGTTATCATACACATACGTCCACCATATATTTTCTTATTTTCTTCAATAATAATAATATATACACATTAGTTATTTGCTAAAATATATATATCAATTTTATAAAAATGTTTTACATATATTATTATTATTTACAATAATTTAAATATCTAAAATTTAAATAAATTAAAAATTTTAATATAAAGTACTAATATTAGACACCTATTTTTGAAGTATCGTGCATAAAAAATACCAGTATATATAGAAACTGCATGCTGCTAAAACTAGAAGAGATATAGAGGAAAAAAATTAAACGTACCATTTATTATTGTGCCCCTGTGCAGAGACTGGGAGTAATGTAATGAAAATGAACTTAACTTCTACGTACAACCATTCTCACAACATGCAAAGACACAAAAAACAAAACACCCACAAATTAAACCTAAACTGCATCAAACTAAACTGAACTGACATAAAACGAAACTAATCGTACTGTGGGATGCATTGCATGCATGCTGAGGCTTCGATCAATTCATTCATTCCATCTTGTGCTGTTGAAGGACAGTAACAGGTCTTCCGGCCGGAGAAGGTGCTTCCAATCTCAATGGTGAGGAAGATGATGATGATTCCATTGTTATAGGCCTCCCAGTGCCGATGAAAGAAGTTGTTCTTGCACTAAGGTTGTCAAAGAGGAGACGAAACGTCCAGTTTAGGACGTTGGGAGAGAAGACCCTGTAGAGAAGGAACGTGTCGTACCAGCTCGGGTACTTCACGTATTCATCCCCACGGCATGCCCCCGACACTATCAGCTTCGCAAACTCCTCCACCGGTCCAGTTGCGTGTACCTATATATGCATGCATGTATCACAATGGGAATTAATTAAAATGATGGAATTAAGTGAGTTTGCCAAGTAACTTGTAGCTCAATGGCCACTACTGGAAATTCTGAAATTTTCGACCACCTGAAAGTTATCTTAAATTAAGTTAATACCAAAAAGTGGTTGGAAATAGCAACAAAAGTTTTTCCAGATACCAAAAGTGGTCGGAACAAGGCTTTTGACTTGATTTAAGATCACTTTTAGGTGGTCGGAAATTTCATAATTTTCAGTAGTGGGCATCTCAGTAATTCTCCCAAATAGGAAGTCATAGTCTTTGTGCTTTAATAAGTTTGAAAAAGTATATACGGACAGATACTAAATTATAATAGAGTGTAGTACTAAAAAAAATGTAACGTCTCTGCTCGATCTTTCCCTAGGTATGTATGTATATGTAAGCAATGAATTGAAGGTAGACTTAATTACTTCTCTTTCTTCTTTCCATTGCATCTCTGCACCTTCCTCCACCATGATTTTCCCCCTCGCCATTTCAGTCCCGATCCACCCATGAGTTGCTACTGTGATTCCGATGCTGTTTCCCACCTCGAACCTCAGTGTCTCATACAAATTTACTAGCCCTGCTTTTGCTGCCTATTTCATTATTTCAGAAAACAAGCATAAATCATCAAAATCACTCTACCTTTCAATCACAAACATTATTATTATATTAATCCATCAGTTACAGCTACAGAAACATTAATCACGTACCGAATATAGGCTCATTCTTGGCAAAGGCAACCAACTCTCCACTGATGCATTCACTATGACTCGACCTCTGCTTTGGCGCAGATATGGAAGGGCTACATAGGTAGGATAAACATTTCCCCAGAAGTTTATATCCTGGAATTATTCAAATATAATGGACAAAACTTATTATATTGTTCAGTTCTATGAGTGTATGTAATATAATTAATGTCAGCTCAACCGTACCATTAAAATGGGAAACACGGTTGTGTCCGATGCTTCCTCAAAGTAAAATGTATGTCCCAAGCTTGCTGTATTCACAAGATGATCCACTGCAAAAGGGAAACCAGACCAAAAAGCCAGAAATAATTAATTCAAAACACGAAACTAACATAGTAGCTTATCAATCAATTTTAGCTTGTTTCACTATCTACTAGTGGTTTGAGTTGATTAAACACCGGACCACCTGTGTTTGATTAATCAGCTTATTAATCTAAAACCTTAAAAATCAAAAAATAACTCAAAGCAGCTTTTTTATACCCTTAAAATGTCATTTTGCATGTAATCAACTAACTAACATGATTTAGCTAACATCTTTCTATAATCAATTAATACTATGAATTAGTCAAATCCCCTAACTCAATCCGATAACAGCTATAAAAGTAGAAGGAAGTATGTAGTTGTTAGCGATGGAGCTTACCACGGCCGTAGAAGTTGATAGTCTCAAGGATGAATCTCCTACACTCTTCTTCCTTGACAACATCTGCGGCTGTGATCAACACATTCTTTGCACCCAGCAGCCTAGCGTTCTCACTGATCGCCCGCAATCTGTTCTCTCTTCGTGCTACTAACACCAGGTTCGCTCTCCTTTTTGCATACTCATATGCAATTTGCTGCCATTATATATATAATCAACCATTAATCTTTCACTTAAATAGTTAAATCAAGTGTTTACCACTACTACATCAAAAATTATATATAGCTCGTAGGGAATGTGTATCTTTATTTCATTCTAGATCCTCATCATATTTTTGAAACGTTAAAGGTTGGACTTGACCATCCCATTTAAGCCCTTCATCAGGCAGAGCCTGAGGATTTCCAACCACTGGGTGGTAGACTTGGCCTTTACTAAGCTCCGCCCAACATTCACTAATTACTAAAGTTTGTACCTCTCCAATACCAGAAGAAGCTCCGGTGATGACGACCACCTTGTCCTCCATGATCTCCTCCCCGTAGTAAAGGTTGTAAAGCCACTCACAGGCGCTGATGAAACACAAAGTCGGCCATGCCAACGCCAGCATCACCAAGCTCGCCGGCGGCACCACCAAGTTCAGCACTGAGTTCACCAAATCCATCATTTTAATTAATTTGCTTTTTTTCTCTTGCCGGCCGGCCTTTTGAGTTTTCTTCTTTCAAGAGAGAGAGTAGAAAAGATGTAGATGATGATGAGATATTGAGATAATTGAAAGAAAGAGGCAGAAAGAACGGTTTTGGTATTGTATTGTCAGTTGGGTTGACATGTATTGCTAGACGATCAACACCTACAATAGCTGTGCATGAAGGGAAGGGCGGTTAACACGTGTTACTCTCATCAACTCCGAGTGCATGATGAATAATTTCTACTCAAAATAGGGAGGTTCGATATAAATAAAGTGAGAATTGAGTATATC